ACAGAATGTTTACAAAAAATAGTAATACCTTCAAATTTACTAACACATTTTGTCATGATATCTTCTGTAGAATTGGAAAAAGTTGTTTTTGAATTACCCAATAAAAGTAGCCAAATCAAATCAAATCAAATGTGCTTTATTGTCAAAAAAAAATAAACATTTTTGCGGACAAAGCAGACTAATTCTAGGTGAATAACAATAAATAGGTAAGTCATAAATAGGTAAGAAACCGTCGAATAAACACACACAAAAAAAAAACATTAAAAAAAAAACAAACAAACAAAAATATGCAAATTATACAAGCACCATCAGCCACAAAAAGCACCAGAGCACTAAATGGTGTCATCATTAAAATATTCCTCAGTTCTGTAGTAGGCCTTTTCGATGAGAAACGTCTTGAGAATTTTTCTAAAATGCTTCAAGCCCCGCGCGTTTCTGATCACGACGGGAAGGTGGTTGAATATTTTTCTTCCCTCATAAATAATTGACCTTTGCACCAGTGCGCTTGAGGGAACCGGCAATGGAAGGTCATGAATTTGCCGAGTGATGCGTACACGAACAGGATCACGGTCATTTCTTGGGTTCTTAAAAATAATCGATGCAGTTTCAAGAATGAAGAGACCAGTAAGAGTAAGAATCTTTTGAGAAATAAAATGGGGTCTGCATGAGTCTCTGTAACCAACATTAACAATGGCACGAACAGCCTTTTTTTGCAGAAGAAAGATAATATTCAGTAGATTCTGGGAAGCCACACCCCAGAATGGAATGCCATAGCGTAGGTGGCTTTCGAAAAGAGCAAAGTAGACTGTCCGCGCTACTAGCAAACCAAGCTCAAATCTAGTAGTTCTTATGGCAAAACATGCCGAGGACAGCTTACTGCTTAATCCCATGATATGGGACTCAAATTTCAAGCCAGAGTCAATATGAACACCCAAAAACCTATTCTCTAATTTGGCCTGCAGATCTTCACCCTCCAGCCTCACTTCCCGGACATCACCCCTAAAACAAACAAGGCTAGTTTTGGCGACGTTAAAAGAGAGGAGATTTGCACTGCACCAGCTTTTGACCATTGCCAGATCCTCTGATATCCGGTACCTCAATTGATCAGTATCTCTGTCGTGCCATACAATAGATGTGTCGTCTGCAGCCCTGATGAATTTTCAGCAGAATTTATGAAAAACATATATAAAAGTATCGAAAACCCTCTCTTAAATTTAGTTAACTATTCACTAGAAACTGGTACTGTACTGTCAGCATTAAAAATTTCCACAGTTTCCACCTATACCAAAAGTCAATTACGTTTCAACAGCAAGTGATTTAAGACCAATCAACATGTTAGCAACAGTCGAAAAAATTATCGAAAAGATTGTTTATGAGCAATTGGTTGACTATATCTCAAAAAATAATATTTTGTACATAAACCAGTCGGGTTTTAGAAAGGCACATAGTTGCGAAACTGCTGTTCAGAATGTTTTGCATGAATGGAAGAATGAGCAAGATAAAAATCTAATGATTGGAGCAGTGTTTTTAGACTTTCAGCGTGCCTTTGAGACGATTGATAGGGATAGGTTGGTGAACAAGTTAGAAAAGTACGGTGTTAGCGGCCTAGCTTTGGAATGGCTCTGTAACTACTTACATAATAGAAAGCAAGTTACTCGTGTTAATAAAACAACCTCCTTAGAGATTTTAAATAATAATGGTGTTCCACAAGGGAGTACCCTAGGACCACTACTATTCCTGTTATATATTAACGATATTGCTTCTACAGTTAAAAGCTGCAAAATCCATCTGTTTGCTGATGACACCTTAATGTATTTCTGTTCAGATAATTTAAAAAACCTAATTGACACCATCAACGCAGAACTGCAAAATATACTACTGTGGTGCAATGGAAATCTACTTAGCTTAAATGCAGCAAAAACTAAATGTATGCTTGTTGGTAATAACCAACAGTATAATATGTTTAAGTTACAGTATAAAATAGTGATCGCCAATACTGAAATAGAAATTGTTGATAAAATAAAGTATCTTGGAGTTATAATTGACAGGAAGTTAACATTTAAGGAACATGTGTCATACATAGGTGATAAAATCTCCAGAAACACCAACTTTTTTGCTAGAATTGCTCCATCTTTAACCAAGTGGTCTCGGAAAGTGGTATATAATGTACTGATTTTGCCTCATCTTACATTTGCGTCTACCATCCTGTTTACGGCAAATAAAAATGAAAAAGACAGATTGCAGAAATTACAAAACAAGGCCATGCGAATAATTTTGCGTGTACCTAGGGACACATCAATTAGACACATGCTTTACTCATTAAATTGGCTGTCAGTGGAACAGTATTTGGAATACCAAACTATGATTCTCATACATAAAATGAAAAATTCTTTAGCTCCATCGTATTTGTCCTCCAAACTTGTATACAATAACAACATCCACAATTATAATACCCGGTCACAGAATAATTTGCATGTGACCAAAAAAAATAAAAAGGCTACAGAAAGGGCACTATTTCATAATGGTTTAATATTATATAATAAATTGCCTGATTCAATAAAAAGATGCGGTACTGTAATAGACCGATCTCCTATTACCTGGACTGCGCGCGTCGCTTGTAGGCTGCAGGTGAACGTCCAATGAGAAGCAAGTTTGTGACAGGCTTGCATCATATTCTTATTCAGGAGCCAGTTCAGAATGAATCGTTCCTTCTTTCTTTGTAACGTGTAATTTGACAAAGAGCAAACTAATACTTTACATATTAGGTACTTGAACACACCGCAGTTTCGTTTAAGGTTATGTTAGATTATACTTGACATATTCCTTTGAGATTTCATTGAGCGATGTTGCCGGATGAAACATTTATCAAAATAAAAGTGCAAACGATGGTCATCCACTTTAAAGCTCTTCTTTTGTCTGATTTAAGGCGTTGTAAAACCCTTGACACTATATCACTTCTTTAATGTCATATTGTTCGATTTGTATTGTCTACATTTTGTTCTGCAACAATACAATCTGGCTACACTGCAGCCTACGAGTTGCACGCGCATGTCATCTTCTATTGCTTTCTAACTTGTATTTATTACAATTAAGCTCTCTTTTTCTAATCATGCGAGACAGGTCTATTGCCTTTAAAAATAATCTTAGGAAAAGACTATTTGACGAGTCTCACTAGGTAGACAATAATTATCATGTAATGATCGAATTTATGTATGTGAGTTGTTTTTTTTATATTTATTTTTGTTTGTTTTTTATACAAGATGTGTTAATTTTAATTTTACAATTTACAATTATTGTGTAGTACCTAAGTAATAAGAATTGCGATTTTTATAGTGTATGTATATTGTGCATGTCTGTAAATTTTGTGAATTAGCCGTTTTTTGCTAAATAAAGATCTATTATTATTATTTATAAATAGGTGTACAAATTCCCTCCCCTCGAATTACTCAAAAACTACTCCTGCTTTTGTCGTGCGAATCAAGAACCAGAATTATCGAGGTAACTTTTCTTTTGAAACATCTTCTAGATTTTATTGAAAATTATTAAAAATTTCTTTCTTGCCTTTGAAAGATGAAACATTGGCAACATTGTATTCAGCTTTTTAGAATCACTGGCTTGGGGGGGGGGGGGGGGGGAAATGTGACAATCAGTGACAAAAAGTTTCATTCATAAATTTAAAATATCTTGTCAAAGCTGTCAAATAGACTCAGAAAAAAAAAAAAGTGGTTTTGCTTCTAAAGTGCTTCGAATTAGTTGAATTTCACATTTGCTGGACCTAGATGATATAGATTCTGAGTTTCTGAGGTAAGTTTTTTTTTTTTGGCAGAAATCCTGTGTCTGGAATGATAGTGTACTCAAATTCCTTTGAAAATAATATCAGACAGCTATTGAGATAATTTGTAAAATGCTATGGAAAGATCCAAACCTGAATTCTGAGTACTCAGACTGGATCTCAAATATAACTTTTTAATTAATAACAAATTCATCTGAAATTTTTTCCTTTTTCTTCCCAGCAACTCATTACTTTGAATTTGTGATTGAAGCGTTAAATTGTTCTGGAAAAGTCAAGGAAAATTCTAAAAATGAAACAAATATTGACCAATATATCGAGTCTAGTGTATGTTCTATTTATAACCTCAAATTTCCCACACACTTTTCCAACAAAAGAAGCAAAGAAAAACAACACCAAAACCTACAAATAAATAGGAAATCGCAAGCCAGTTAGTTGGGAAATTGTTAAGATTTTTTTGAAAATTGGGGTTGTTTTTTAATGTTGTGTAAATAGTAATTAAAAAAAATAGGTGTTGTTTTTACTTACAAAAGCGCTACGGCTAAAGGGCATTTTGGGGCTTTGGGTACACTTTAAGACACTTACAGGAAGCGCACATAAATCGATTCTATAGAGTGTGGAAAATTATCGGGGAGACTTTTTTTCCACACACACACAGACTCGTTTTCATTTAAAGGAAGAATCTGGAATTTTGCTCAGCTCAGACGTACGTTCAATGTTTCGTTTCTGTTGTTTTGAACAGCTTTGGAGGTGATGTTGTAATCGAGTCACGTCGTAGATGAATTTGATGACTTATGCAATCCTGATGACATTTTTAGCAATTGCCAACCTACAAAAAAAAAACAAAAAATTTTGCATTTAAAATTTAAAATATGATTTAGATTATAGGATGGTACTTAAATAAGTTAATATTTGTAATGATGTTAAGTTTTTGTTCTATTAGATTATAGAAAAATTAGATAGGTTGATTTATGGTAACTTAAGTTGAGTTGGCAATATGAAAAATACCTTGTCCGAACAGTTATAGCGTTTTCGTTTGCCTACGAGTGCTCGATTTATTTTTAAAATCTTGTAAAGAACAAATAAACAATGAATATATTTTCAAAAATTACTGCATAAAGTAATTATTAGTAATCAACGCAACACAATAATTTGTTCTTTGATCGATAAAAGATTCTGGATCAGTGCACTGGTTCGGAACAACAAACACCTGAAATACGATGTTGCCAAATTTCCCTTATCAACGAATTTTTTTGTGACAATTTTTTTTGTTTACATCTTGTCACATTGAATATTTAACAGCTCTCTAAATCCAAGTCAAAATTCTTAAATTCTTTTCCTTCCATGTGCCATTAAAATTCAAAATTTGCAAGCCAAATAATTATTATTCTGACTAGGTAAGTATGTCCCAGCAGTCAGAAAAGGTAAAAGAATTCTACGCCAACGACATCATTTACCGCTTTGATAAGAACAAGAAAATCGTTTTCGGTGTGGTAGTGAATACCTACGAAAATTCGCAGGACGACGACGATGATGCTGGTGCCCTCCAAAAGGGCCAAATCAGTGTTTCTTGGGAAAACGCTGTTGAGGAACAGGTCTGGAGACAATCCAAAGTAAGATTTTTATAATGTTTCCAAATATTTTTGCTATATTATCCCTCTATTCTTAGGTCCGGCTAGTCAATAGAAGCATAATTCCTGGCGATATCGTTCGTCGATTGGAAGAGGGCAAAGAAACTCAAAGAGGCTACTGTAAAGATGTGAAGCAGTCCACCACAGTTCATATAGTTGGAACTGATAAGGTGAATTATGTTCAATTGTGTGAAACTTTATTGTACAACTTTTTATTTATATGCAGGTTGTTGAACATGTTTCCAGCGAGAGGCTTCACAACGTCAGACCCTTGGATATTGATGATGTAGTTTGTTGCGGGAGCAAAGTTGGGCACGTTGATGTAAGAACTTTTACACGATTACTAGGAAAATCTCCAGTGGGAAGCTTAAACCCTGCTCAGAGCTTATCTTTTAAATTTTGATAGATTGGGTATCATTTCCAAATGAAAATTCCAATAAGAAACTCTATTTTAAGCTCATAGAATACTTATTATACCTAATGTGGTCTGTGGTCATGAATTAGAACATGCTCAAAGGGGGTTTTTAGGAATGCCTGATTCATGGCCGCTTCCACCAACTATTTTAGGGGAGCCTTAACGATAAGTATTCCCTACAATGACATTTTTACATGGAGAAATATCAGTTTAGGGAATACTTATCGTTAAGTTTTCCCTAAAATAGTTGGTGGAAACGGCCATCAATGTGGTATTTGCAATGTTGCCAAGCTTACCCTTTCAACCCTGTATATTATAAGTTATTTGATAAACTATGGGTGATCTCAGAGAGTATTAAACTTTTCCTAATTCGCTCAATATTATCAAAAGTAAAACTTCTATTAGCATTTCAAATTTAATTAATTGATGAAAGTTCATTGCCATTTCATATTGTTCCTGATTAAGTTATTTGCCAGTCAGCAGTATTGGACAATACTGTTGTTGCATTGGAAATTTCCCTTGTGCAAATTTTGCATACAAATTGTCAAAATTAATGAGTGGAAATTTTTGGAAATATCCCGGGGAAAATGTCCAGAATTGTCATTTTTGGCATTGAGGCCCGCTTTTCCATTTAAAACGCATTGCTGTCAGAAATCTGTCAAAGTGTATATTTTTTGACAAACGTAATTTAAATGGGAAAGATCAATAACAATCACCATCAATAAAAAAATTCAACACGACGTAGTAAATAGACTTCAAACTCGGGAAATTTCCTATCAAAATATAACTCGTGCATAAAATATTTCCTGAGGGAAATTTTAGAAAATTTCGTCTTTAGCCAATTTTTTTGAACAAAACCATTCGTGCATTGCGCCAAAGAAAAAATCCCTCACCCTTCGGGCACTTATGATTTTGTTAAAAAATTGGCTTCAGACAAAATTTTCAAAAATTTCCGGAAATATTTCATGCACTAGTTATATTACTACTGGAAATAGGAGTCAGCAACAAAATTAAGTGCACTAACCCGAAATCTAAAATATTGATTTTTTTGCTGATTCATTTGAAACCATATAGATTGATAATTGAAATTTTACTTTTGACAATATCATATACACTGTGTCTGTAAAGTAACGGATAAATTCATTATTTTGAAAACGGTAGAATTTTTGAAAAATCGTTCAGACACATCAATTTTGTTTTTTTGTTTGAACTTTTTTGATATATATTTTTTATTACACAGGGTGTCTGAAAAATAGGTCCGCTGCTATCAACTTTGTTTTTTCAAATGGATCACCCTGTATATTATGACATTTATGGATTTTGTGGAAAATTATAGACATATTTCATATACAATGTTATATACTTATCTTCAACTGTTTCGGAAATATTGACAGTTGAAAATTGACTTTTTGCAACTTTGACAGGCTGTAAAACCTAAACGGTGAATTTTACAGGAATACCGATTTCACATTCCTATCTTAGATTTTCAAAATCGATCATTTGACACCAACTTTGAAGTTAATCCGTGATTAAAAATTCCGGTTAAATTTAATCTCCGGGTAAATTCAAAGTTGGTGTCAAATGATAGTTTATGAAAATCTAAGATAGGAATGTAAAATCCCTATAAAATTAACCGTTCAGGTTTTACAGCCTGTCGAAGTTGCAAAAAAAATCAATTTTCAACTGTCAATATTTCCGAAACAATTGAAGATAGATATACGACATTGTACATGAAATATATCAAAAATTTTCCGCAGAATCCATAAATGTCATAATATACAGGGTGAGCCATTTGAAAAAACAAAGTTGATAGCAGCGTAGCTATTTTTGAGACACCCTCTATAATGAAAAATATATCAAAAAATTTCAAACAAAAAAACAAAATGGACGTGTCTGAGCAATTTTTCAAAAATTTTACTGTTTTTAAAATAATGAATTTATCTGTTACTTTACAGACACAGTGTATAATAACCAAGGATTTTGAAATTTCTATTGATCAGAACTAGGTACTTATAATATCTGAAAAAAATTTTCTTATGCTGATACAAATTTTTTAATTAATTTATTTATCACTGACCCTGAAACAGTAATTAAACTTACTGGTATTAGGGCCTACAAAAGTAAGTTAATGTAATCGTTATTAACAATATAAAACATTAATTTTATAGTAACTTATCAAAAATCACATTAGCTTCAGGTTATGACAGAATTTTTTTACAGTTTTGACATTTACAATATCCTGTGGTATAGAATTGTATGTTTGAATACTTCCATATAGGGGTGAGCTTTGTGCTTTTTGTGTCCTTGAAAAATCATTTCTTAAATTTGCTGCACTTCTTACATTATCTGTATGACATTGTTTTACTTGTTTTGTAGTTAGGTTCGATTTTAATAAGTGATTGTTTATTAGGTAGGTATATAAATTTAGTTTGTTCATATAAACTACGCGTCAATCGAACTCGAACACCCCAATTTTTGATCACTTTTTGAAAAGCTATAACTCAAAATCTAGCAGGCCGATTTTGTTTAAATTTTCAGAAGTGAAAGGATGCTCTAATTGCTATTTAATTTCCAGTTCTTAACACATTTCCGGCCACCTGCTAAAAGATACAGGGTGAAACATAAGTTGGCGATTTTTGTGCGAAAGTTTGGGTTTACCCCATTCTGCTGGAGGGAGGGTTAAGTAGATTTTTGGTATGCAGTTTAGAAGAGTACCTCAATACCTCGGGACGTTTTTTAGATATTTTGAATATCGTAGCCGACTACGATTTTATCATGAGTTATACGATTTTATGTAACATATAGCTATTGACGTCTTTATTTCTTTTCGAAACAAACACACAACAATGGCGCATGTGAAAACACACCTAGAACATATTATACAGGGTCATACAAAAATATATAGGGTGTTCTGATAAGAGTTTCCAGATGTTTTTCTTGAACAAAAAATCTCAAAAACGTCCCGAGGTACTAAGGTACTCTTCTACACTGCATACCAAAAATCTACTTAATCCTCCCTCCAGCAGAATGGGATGAACCCAAACTTTCGCGAAAAAATCGCTACCTCATGTTTTACCCTGTATCTTTTAGCAGGTGGCTGGAAATTAAATAGCAATTAGAGCATCCTTCCACTCCTGAAAATTTGAACAAAATTGGCCTGCTAGATTTTGAGTTATAGCCTCTCAAAAAGTGACCAAAAATTGGGGTGTTCGAGTTCAATTGACGCGTAGTTTATTTTCATTTTATCTAAGTCTCATAATTTTATTTGTTCATACAACTGTTCTCTTGGAGTAGAATATTCAATTTGATAAATAGTCTTCATAGCCCTGTTTTGCATTCTTTTTAGTTTGGTTTGTAAGTTTTTTGGTAAATTACCCCAACATGGTAGAATATACCTGATATGTGGCACGATAAATGAATTAAGTATATAAAAAGTTTCTAGGTTTTTTGCTTAAGCTTGTCACACACCTTTTGACAGCTCCAACAAAGGGCACAATTTTTTTTAAGATCCTTCAACATGCAGATTCCAACTCAAATGTACAGTACTGATTTAAGTCTTTTGAATAACAACAAGTATTTCATGTGTGCTCTTCATGTTTTTAAGTTTTCAGTGGTTATATAGTGCAATATAAATTTTGTGATTGGTGCCATTCGAAACGTAAAGTTTGCCGTTTTTGGTGCATAGTTAGTTTTTTTTTTTTTCTTTATACAATTTGAGTGAACGAACAAAATAATGATAAAATAATTATTTATTTCAATGGTATGATTGGAATTTACAATGCGTAAAAAACTTTTTACCAGCATGGGTTTTTGTTACCTATTAGTTCAAAGTTTATAGTTTGATCATATTTATGGGCATCTGCTTTTTAGGGAAATTTATTTCTCTTCGTTTTTTTTTTTTTTTTTTATGACTGCTTGTTAAGCCGACTTTTGCAAATTGTGACGTTGCCGTTGTTATAACGCTTTCTGTGAGGTCCTGGTTTTTACTATGACATCCGCATCTTTCTTCAAATGCTGCAGGAAGCGTTTCAACAGTCTTGTCTGTACCAATTGTTACAATGTCTTCCATCAAAGTTGTGGAGGGCGTATTAGGGCTATTGAGCTGATTGATGTACATCGAATCGTCTGCTCGGACGAATGCCAGAGAACAATTTTGGAAAAAGAAAACTTAATAGAGGATTTAAATTTGAAAATTTCGAAACTCAAGATGGAAATTAACTCAAAGGATTTATCCTTCCAACAAACAGAGACTGCTAAGGATGACATAATTGAGAGCCTGAAAATCGAGTTAGGGAGGCCCTTGCTAACATCGCACAGCTGGAGAAACATTTAAAGAAACAACGTAGACTTACACAGGATTTCACGGATGATGTTCAGATTGCTGAAGATCGCTATGTTGGAGAAATTGAACGGCTTGAAGTTACAAACAGAGAACTTAGGAGTAAAATAAAGGAATTTGAAGACGGTATGGTTTCATTAGCAGTGCAAACTGATCCATTTTTCAGGAAAGACGATTCACAGACTGAGTCCGAACTAAAATATCCGCCATCTGAAGCTCAAGGCAAGCAGAATGATTCGGAACTCAATCCCACTTTTCTACGTCCAACAATAAGTCAATATGCTCAGTCTGATGAAGATGTTTTGGGAGTTGCTCATTTAGATCTGACACTGCAGGATAAAATATGGAATTTGGAAGATTTAAAAGGAGAATTGATGACCAGTATAGAGGTACTCAAAGCAGAAAATGAGTTCTATGCTAAACGGGTGGTGGAATTGGAAGATGAACTTTCAAGGAGGTTAAAGAGTTCGCAAATAGTGATGGATCATGCTGATAATGCTTCTGTTGGGAGATCGGCTCCAGAGGTAAAGCCTGTCTCTCCAAATAAAGACTTTCACCGTAAAGTTTT